AACCGCTTCATATCTTCTACATTTAACGAGCATGTCTCACAGTCATATAACATGACAGAACGGACTGCAGTGCAGTATACTCACCCTTTGATAGATAAACGGATATCTCGCCAGTCGGTGCCACAGATGACACAAGTTAACTAATGCAAAACGACCCTTCTATATTCAAGCCGAGATTGTGTCAGCAACTAACACCGTTAGGGCTGATGCAATTCCACAAGCAAGCCAAGTGGTCAACCCATTCCACCACTTCGCCTCTATCATTAAACTCACAGCAACTCCACATCAGTCTTGTAGCATCATATCACAGTTCACAGGTGTGAGACGCGTGTTAAACATACTAAGATTTCTGCTCAACGAGTTCACAGGACCCTGTATTTTATCAGCGTCTTCAACTAGCAGTACAATATCGTCTACATACATCCAAGTCAGCCGGATAACCTGCAGGAACAGATCAGTCCCTGTGAAGTCAGACGTATCTAAGCTTATCCCCATTAATACATCCTCGACGAATTCGAACAAGAACAGTGACACCATGCATCCCTGGAGGACACCACTAATTGTCGTCAATTCTGATGACAACTATCCATAAGACCTTACACGACAGTTTGAGTTTAGGCGAACGGCTTTGATTAGCGGTGCATAACTGATCGGTACTCCCGTCAAAGTCAAACCACTGCCGCATCACCTCTTCACTAGCAGAGTTGAACGCCACCTTCAGATCAAGAAGTATGGTGAGTGTCAGCCACCAGTTTAAGTATGCTAGTGCTCCGTATACTGATGATGGTTGAATGTCTTATCGATGCACTCCCGCCCAGGTCTGAAACATGTCAGGCTCTCCTGAGTTTGTTGTTCTTGACCCCAAGTTAGGTGTCGGATAGCTATGGATCCTAGGATCTTGGAAATAATTCATCTTTGGATATCACAGGAAGACATACACAGACATCAAAACAGGATCTGTTATTACTGTGTAACGGTCCAAATTGCCACACATCAAGTGAGATAGCATTAGGATGGGGGGAAACTAAAGAAAAAAAGCGGTCAGAAGTGGTAGAAAGTCACCAGAAGAGAGCAAGAAGGGATTACAGAACTTAAATTCAGTATGACGATTAATATGAAGATAGAACGTGGACACATTTGCATCACTGACATCGATTCTAAGCCATATTACTTAGTCTCCAACTACTGGTATATGTTTCCATATAAAGTACAACCGGGAGGTCTAGGTTTTACTACACAGCTGGAACCAGCAATAAAAGACATCTTGGACAGATGCCAAGTTTCAGCATAGCCGGGTTTGACTTTCTTCCAACCCCAATCCAGTTCAGCTAACAATTATTAACGGGGCAGACGGTGACTACGTATGAATAACACATCAAGGTTCGCAACTTCATCAACTGACTTTCCTCTATTCCCTAAGACTCGACACTTCGAAATTCCTGATGTGGTGACACTACGACATACTGGCTATTCTACGAAGGCAGCGGTCGTCAAACACCCAAAGTTTTTCATGCTCCTCTAAACCTAATGGCCATGTTTAACAGCCACATAGTTGAGAAGAGCGCACTGCAGCGCAGTACACTCCAGTCTGAATAGATAACTGGATACCAAGGCGTTACAGATGGCGGAATCTAATCGAGCACTTTGCATCTGTCCAGAGATTCCGTTGGTTACTGACCCACCAGAGCTGATCCAACTTCCCGCGTAAGTAAAGTGGTCAGTGCGATCAACCACTCCCTACCTATCGCCACCTTTTCTATCTCTTTCTCCTTCGATAGCCACCACTGCATGCGGTCATCATCTACATTGGAGCTGCTTCCGACCCTCATTGTGCTCGAGGCTGCGGGAATGCGTTCACGCGCACTCATCAGTTCAGAAGAAGCAATTGAGATCCACTGGGTCTTTTTAATCATTATGTGAGAGTCGGCTAGGTCTTAAACTGTTTCTAAAGCAGATCGGAGATGACGTCAGGCTTCTGAGTGGTACTATTTTATGTTGATAGCGATAACTATCTAGCTAGTTTCTCCCTGAAAGCATCCTTAGTATTAAAACCACCATGCAGTATGAGCGACGGTTTTTTGCGGTAGTTTTCCCAAATTCATTTAGGTGTATGATGCATGATTCAATCAATACATGATGGCTTTTTAAACATATGCTCTAGAAGAAGCGTCAGTCTTTTACTGACTCTTTAGCGACAAGTGAGAGCATTATGGCCTATGTCCACCATTGAGTTAAGGTCAGTGGAGGCCGTGTCAGACAATGTCTCTTTATGTTTGAAGTTCGTGATGACCAGAAAACGATTATCTGAGCATAGTTGTGTGAGACTATCACCTTTATCTGCTCGTTCTGCTAGGCTTCCGAAAGTTCCACCTAAGCGCCTCTCTGTCTAAATTAGATTACCCACTTGTGCATTGATGTCACCTGGAACGACAACCACATCCGAACGTTTGGCTGTCCGTAGCAGGCTAGACATTTTTCACTTCACTTGAGCTGTAGTCAGTGGGCGTAAGCAGAAATTCCAAAGAAACAACGGCGACCTCCACTATATCTTGTAGTCCTCACTATAGTGTTTAATCAAGCAGCGCATAGGAGATTGTCAAATGGAATCCAGTCGAGTGGCGTAATTTCTGTCTTACGATTTAATGCTACGCGTGCACCTATAAGACCACGAGAACTAGCCATCGAATCTTCAGAAATCCAAAGGGTGAGTTTGCAAAATTCATCATACTAACCGGATGAGACAAGTGAATAGCTGCACTTGGGTTTTGTATGCGTATCTCGCAGACGCAGCACAAATCCAAGGCCCAAGAAGCTAGTTTTGGCTAGCGAAACCTGCTGGCCAATTCGACAAAGCGTGGAGATAACGAAAGCTCCAATATGTAGTTAGAAGCGCGGTTTTAGAGGACCAATGACACTGTTCCATGAAAACATCTTTACCGAGCAGCAGAGCGGAAAGAGGCTAAAATTGCTGCAAGAACACTGACCAAGAGATATGAAGAAAGACTAGACAGTAAGGATGAAGGTTGATAATTTGAGGGGATATCAAGGCTGACTCCTGAGGGCGGTTGACACTTTCCGGACACCCATACTATGGAAGGCTATTTCTTCTTGAGGTACCTGGTATAAATTGTGCCGAGTCGAAATGCACTCAGAAAGCTTGTGCACATCGGTGCGATAGGCAACGAGCCACACCTATTGTGGGAGGGTTAATGATACTACCAGGCTGCCCAAACCTTGGTAGGTAGAGTGGGACTCAAACCAGTGACCCATCGGCCGAAAGTCATTTCCCAAATGACCCACAGCTTCTAAAAAAAAAATGTTATTGTGCGACTACAGCGCCCAAGGGACAACTGATTGAAGTCGATGACATACAGCCTATTGAGAAGCTTGGGATTTCGTGTCTTTTTTCCAAATCCACCCAAGGATCCGTAACTCCGGCACCAGTGTGTCACAGGGTTGTGTACAGACAGAAAGTAGCGTCAGCATAGTACTGCTGGGCAACCGTGGGGAACATCTGACTGCTGTCACTGCCGTAAAGCTGGCAGTGCGACTTCGCTCTCGGATATCCATCATGGCGTAGCAACTTACACCATAACGGTAACTGCTTTTCGTCTTACTACGCATTAGACCTTTCTGGCACGGTAGAACTTCCAGAGACAAGCGTTACAGCCAGTGTAGTTAGTTGGACCTCTGTGATATGCAAGCCAGAGCAACAAGTCAGGGTAACACATCGGTCGGGTTACGATTGTAATACAACCACTAAAGGATATTAAAAAACAACCAACAGACTGAAAAGTGGAAGATATGTTAGTGAACTGTTTTAGGGGAGCAGACATGCCGTTATTTAGCTTGGACCACTAACTGCTCAAAAATGTAATTAACTCCCCACAAACATTTTATGAAAACTACTACAACAATTTAATAACGTAACTCATGATCACATAGTAATTATATAATACAGAAATAAAAGCCAATAAACAAAAGGGGACAGTCTAAAATTGACAATATGTCTACAGTACTCTGAAACTTACGATGTATTTCTGAATAGTAGCTTAGGTTTTACGGTATAACTAAACAATTTGGCCACTCCGCTATATTTTCCAACGGAAGAATGAACACTGCTTATCGTCCTTAAAGACTTAGATTAACACGGAATATTTAGTTCAACCTATTTACCAAAACCGGAGAAATTACACTTTTGACGTGTTCGAGCGCTTCGCTCAGTGAACTTGGAAAAATATCGTATTTACAACCTAATAGGGATTTTAGGTGAACTATTTAACGACAAATTACAAGTAAAAAATCTCGGAAATGCAGCAGAGTTGGAATGATTAAACTCAGCATTTACGGAGTGCAGCAGTAACCACGGAATCGAATGAAGTGCAACTCATCAAATAAGTGCATATTCGTCAACTTGACGATGAGCCCTATCTATTGTGTGAGGACTTAAGATAGTATTTAGCCATTTAGATCTCGGAAGATGAGGCAGTGTTCAAACCTGTGACCCAGTGGTGAGCCACAGATGCACCCCAAGGCAGGATGATACTGGTGATAGATAGCAATTTCGTAAAACATTTGGTTGATAAAAAGCAACTAATTACAGTGACTCGCATCCAACTTGCTGGGTTTCAGTAGATTATTGTCCAAGCCATCATTAAGGAAAACTTCATCTGCCTTATGTAATTGTAAATATGAGTCGAAACCGACAGGTGATGAAAAGCGAAATTGTCTCGTTCCTACGTTGCAGGAATAGTATATCATGAAATCTGACCACATGATAGCCTTGAGTGAATTTGATGTTTTGACTTCACACTCAAGTGATGAGACAGTGGTAAATCAGGAGAGCTAAGTATCCACGAAACAGACATGAAAAACTACTGATGCATTGGGTATCCAACAGCGAATACAGATTTTCCATACCATCCCCACTTTTCGGTACTAAGTATTAAAGCTTCATTACTTATATCGAAGGACCTACTAAATTGTTTCTTCAAACTTACCAGTGAACCAGAACTGCACCACCAGAAACCCTGGCTTCGTGAATGAAAAAGCACGCATCTTTAAAGAACTTGGTAATATCCTGCTTAGCGTCATCATCTGCACGGAAGAATTTTTGCTTCCTGGAAGGACACTGAATTAATCAGGAGTATCATGCTACCACCCGGTACCTTGAAATCATAATGGAGAATACTGCATACGTGTGTGATTCCGTGATCTTCAAGTTGAGATTTTGCCTGTGCACTGGTGACTCCACCAATATAGATGCCAGATACAATCCGAGACATTCCACCACCCATTCTCACTCTGTATATCGAACAAATCACAGACGCCAGACACAAATATGACCACCGATACCCAATATTCAACTTCGCGCGAGTGAGATAATGAGTTGACTTTTCTGGTCAGGACTGGTTACTGCGATCCAATGTCCAATATCCAATATTGACAATGCGAGTGTAGAAAACTGGTAGTTTTCGATCTCTCGCATCTAGTTCTTAGGGCTTGGTTCGAGTTGTTCGGTTCACTCCTGCAGTGAACGAGGAAATACCCTCTGCTTTCTTGCTTTTAGCTTCGGTGAGGTGGATGTTTTGTGGGTTAGTAAATTGTAATTTGTAGAGTGATTAGGGAACTACAGGTTGCTGGAAAGTTAAGGGCACTGCCGTGACTCCTTTCTGTGTAGGTACCTGAAAGAGAATAGCAAGGTAGTGGTAAAAGAATGAAGAGAGAATAAAAAAAGAAGAAGGAGGAAAAATAAGAGAAAAGAAAAGGGAAGGAGAAGAAAAGGAGGGGTGAAAAAGATGAATGGAAAGAAAGGAAGGTATTTGGAAATCGTGCGAATGGTCGCGTGGGTTTGGTCTCTACAGAAGAATTAGCAGGTAATGTGGGTGCATTAAGGAAAGAGATTGTGAGTGGTAGTTGGGAGGGAGTTGGGGTCTAGTGAGGTTGGTGACTACCTGAGTACGTCCGTGGTAGTCCATGCGAGGTGACATAACTGTCTGATCGTCTCTTGAATGAGTCGACTGAGGGAGCCATAACGATATGTCACGGTAAGGCATTCCATAAAGCATATACTCTTAGGGAGAAGAATTTGGACCTGAGTATGGTGTTGGCTCTCTGGTGTGCTATCTTAATGGGGTTTCCTCGTGAAGATCGTTGAGTTGCAGGCAAAATTGACTTGTTTGCATGGTCTGCCTGATGGGCGATCTTGTATGCCATAATAAGGTCACCCCTTTTCCTGCGATAACCCAAGGGAAATAGGTTTAATTGTTTAAGTCTTTCAGGATACGTCCTTCCCTTTAGCCCCACAACTGATTTTATTGCAGTTCTTTCTTTCGAGGTGATTAGAGTCTGTCTTGAATGTTGGAGGAGCCACCGTATTGAAGACCTCTAGGTGCGGCCGCACGTAGGATTTGAAAATGGTGAGGAAGAGTTCGGGAGTGAGGGCGCCAAGCTGTCTACGCAGAAAGTGTAGAATGGCGTTCGCTCTGGTTGTCATACCTTTGTAGTTGGAGCTGGTGTCCAAGGTGTCGGAGAAGTTGAGCCCCAAATCTTTCTCCATGGACACTCTGGTGATAGCACGGTTGCTCAACATGTACTGGAAGTCGGTCGTACTTGCCTCATTTTTACTGATGTGCATTACTTTGCACTTTTCCAGTTGAAGCTCAGGCCATTTTCCGACGACCAGAGCTCGAGTTGCTGCAATCCTTTTGTAGCGCTGTACAATCAGCTTCTTCGTTTACCACCCTCCAAATTTTTATGTCGTCAGCGAAGAGGAGGATGGGTGAGGATATTTTGTCTGGCAGATCGTTGACAAACAGGAGGAACAGAAGCGGTCCTAGGATTGCTCCTTGGGATACTCCTGACGTCTAGGGCCTCCACTCCGACCTTATTTTGTTTACTGTGGTGCAGAACCGCCTCCCTTCCAGGTACTCCATGAACCAAGAGAGTAGGGGTTCACTTATACCAGCTGACATGATCTTGTGAAGCAGTACTGTGGGTGGGACACTGTCAAATGCTTTGGTAGGTCGAGAAGTACAACATGCATCAGTTTTTCTGTTATCCCAGCTTTGTGTCCAGTCATCCCAGGCGGTTGGTAAGTTGGTGGCACATGAGCGACCACTCCGAAAGCCGTGCTGAGCAGTATGGACAGTGTTTTCCCTATTGAGGAATTCCCAGATAGTGTCAGCTACCAGGCTTTCCAACACCTTCGACACAATAGGGAGTAGGGCAATTGGCCTGTAGCTGCCAGGGCTTTTTCTGTCTCCTCCCTTGAAGATGGGTGACAAGATGGCGCTCTTCCATCCTTTAGGGAGTTTGCACGAGTCTACTGAGTGCTCAGAGAGGTTGCGAAGTGGTTCAGTAAGCACCTCGGTGCAGTTATTTTTGAACCACTGGTTTTAGGTTATCGCAGCCAGGGGACTTGCCCGGACGTGACCTAGATAGTTTCTCGAACGTCTTTTTCTCTGTAACAGAGACTTGGCAGAGGTATTCATCATCTGTGACCTGGTCGGTGTCGTAGCGAGTCGGTGTGGATCTTGTGTCAGTGCTAAGTTGGGCTTGGAAGTGTGAGCTCAAAAGCTTGGCAATCTCTAGACCATCTAGTACACTCCCGTCATGGCCTGTGACAAGATTCACTCCCTTACTGGTCGACTTTCTTCTCGACATGAAGCGGTACAAGTTTTTGGGATTGCTTTGTAACCTCGCTGCCAAGTTTGTTTGATAGGAACATCTGTCGCTACGCACTCTTATGTTACAGCGGTTGTGAATCCTTTTGTAGTTCAAGAAGTCAGACTCCCTGCGTGATGTACGCCACTTGAACCAAGCCTGCTTCTTGCTCTGGATAAGCCTCTCTGTCCCACGCTTTAACCATGAGGTTCTCACTGATTGTCTGTGTTACTTCTGGTACACTGTGACTGATGGCCCCAGTGATTATTTTCTTCAACTCCAACCAGTGTTCATCTATTGTGAGATGAGCCCAGTCCACTGGCCATGATGCATTCATGAGGTAGGCCCTCATGAGCTCATAGTTGGCCTTGCTGTAGCAAGGGAAGGTGTTGGACGTCTCCAGTTGCAGAGCCTCCCTAGTAATCATGGGGAGGTGATTACAGCGTGGTCACTGAGGCCAAAGGGGGGTCGGATGCAAACGTCCTCAATGAGAAGTTCATCATTAGTCAGAACGTAGTCAATGCGCGATGCGTTTCCGCTAGGTTCCCAGCGTGTGGCACCACCCACTTTCTCTGAGAGGCCAGCAGTCCCAATTGCATCCTTCAGCTTCTGATTGAAGGATCTGATGTGCCTCCCTTCCGTCTCGGAGAGGATGGACGGGGTGTTGAAGTCGCCGGCAATGACTACTGAATAGTAATTTGCAGAGGAAGTCGTTAAGATCACCTTGATGACCATTTCCTGTGTGTAGGGGAGCTGGTAGGGGACCAATATATGACCCGAGCAGGTATTTGGTATGGTAGAGGGTTAAGTAGCACCATAGAGATTCTGGGAGCTGGGTTAAGGCAGTACCGCTAACCACCCTAGCCTTCAAACAGGAGTTTGCGTAGAGAGCCACCCCTGTGGCTCTGTCCCTGTCCCTGCGGAGGAGTAACACGCCGGTAACGTGCGTCTCTTCGTCGGAGATGTTTGGCGAGAGCCAGGATTCGGTGATGAATATGATATCGGAGTGCCGATTTTCACGCAGTCCTCATTTTTGCTACCTCCCCTCTTAACCCGCTAGCGTTGCTGTACATACATATAAGAGTGTGCCTGGTGAGAGGGGAGGTCTGGTTGTGTATTTTCGCGAGATGAGCTCTTACGTGGTTGGGTCTAGCGTCGCCAGTTCTCATAGGACTGGCATTGTTCCGTTTTTTGTTTTGTTCTTAACTTGGGTGGGGGCTGTAGCAGTGGTGGCTTCTTTACTTGGTGTATCTGACTCACTGGTCAGCGCCTGTGTGACGACCACTGCCTCCAGAGGTCTTGGTGGTTGCCGTCTCTCCTCTAGCCTTCAAAAAACCAAACACCAACATCCAATATCCAACATCAATAATGCCAGCAGGGGAAACTTGTAGTTTTTAAGCTCTCACTTCTGTGTCTCCAGGCTTAGTTCTTTTGGCTCGGCTATACCCTTCGATGGTCACAGAAGTCTCTGTGTCTTCCTGCTTATAGCTTTGGAGGAAGTGATTGTATATTTGAAGGTATTTCCTCTTGCAGATTGTACCTGGGTTTGTTTTCTTTTGCGGGGGAGGAAGCAGAGCCTCTAATAAGGTCAATCAACCGTTTGCAATTCCTGTTTTGTAGGCACCTGCAGGTTTGTCTTAAGCGCTACTTAAAAAGTGACAGAAACAGGGTGAGCGGGTAATGAGAAAAAGAGGAGTGGAAAGTGCTCACGAAAAGATAAATGTAGCTAGCTTCCAATCCTTCTAACCTCCATGTCTAGTCCTGTGGCCGCACAGACGCATTTGTGTAACATTCGGCATTGGGAAAGCAGCATCAGGAAGTTCTATAAATTGAATGTTGTATCTGTAAATCTAGTAGCGGATGCGCACGCGTGCATCAAACGATTCCAAGAGGCGAACTATTTAGTCAGTGGAGTCATCAGTAATTGCCAGAGATCAGTGACAGTTTGCACAAGATCCATGATTCCCGCATAAACAGAAACAAAACAATAATGCGGACCCAGTATACAAGTACCATTGTGGAGTTTTTCGTCACCACGTTAACATCTTTCGAGGCTAACGACCTAGATCAGCTAAAAACGCCACAAATGTGCTTTTGGTAGTTAAAAGTAGAAAGTTGGTGCGGGATGTCACTTTTCATATGTTGCTTCTCCAGTTACTCATTCAAGCCATTTTAGAGCTATCGCGCAAAAATCAGGATTGATAAATCCGGTGAAAATGTGCAAACATTTTAGCTTTATGGATCAGCACTGCAAAAGCATCTACTGGCGATTTTTGAGGAGGATTCGGTAAACAATGTCCTGATAAATAGTTCGCGATGCAAACAGGTAGGAACGCCTACGATGTTGGTGGGATTCCTCTACCGTCAGTACTGACCCACAGTGACCTAGGAGTGGCAGTAAGTTGCAATCTAAAGACCACGGCACACTGTAAATTGTTCGTATCTCGGAGTTTCAGGACACTTCGGGGATTATGCAGAACGTTCGGGAAAGTTAGCTGTGACATGTTCACGATAAGCACGTCCACAGGCAGGTCCAAACTAGAAAACCACGCGCAGGTGACAACTCGTCTGAAGGGCGGCTCGGACCTACTGTAATGATTTCAGAGGACAGCCACCTAAATGATCCATGCGA